CATGACGGTGAGCCAAAGTATTCATCGCACAGTCCAACAGTGACAAATCCCTTTCACACCCACATTTTCAAACGGAATCGAGAGGCATGCAAGCTATTATTTCGCAACTATTTTTTCCGCTTTTCAACGGGTGATGATTGTCGGGGCTAAATACGACTAAGCGTTGTATTCACCCTATTTTGCTAAAGGTGATGAAGGGCTGGTAGTTGAATTTTCCCACAGCGCTATGAGTAGTCGTAGCTTTTTCATTGGATTTCCACAGCCATGCTGCACAAACAGTATTCTCATTCAGGCCTAGGCGCACTTTTGACCTTGTCCGAACTAGTCTCATCAGCACCCCAAGGAGGCCTTTAGTCCTAGTGAACTTGAAAATTGAAGTACCCTAAAAGAAATAGGATAAGCAGTCTCAAGGAAAACTTAAAAACGAAAGTGAGTAAGATTGTCAGTAAAATGATAAGGCCTATCAAAGGTGGCCAAATTGGGTATTCAATTCTCAATCAACAATCAGACTCCTGGTCATACTATGCATTCATGCCAATATTCATATCATAGTGTTAGCAACGCTGTCTTGATGGACAAGTCAACCTAATCGACAACAATTACAACTGAAACCCTTGAACACTTTGCCCCACTACTGATAACTCTTAAGAGTAATATTTATTTGACGTCGACGCAACAGGTTCAACCGACTTAATGCCCAGATTGCCTTGAAGTTCATGTCCGCGCTCCGATCCAGTAGTCAATGCTACAGTGTAGCTCTAGCACAACCCGGATTCGAGTCCAGTTGGGAGTGCTGAGGCTAGTTCCGTGACGAGGTGAAACGAAGGTTTTGGAGGCGACGCGAGGCTGAGGCCTTTTGGTCGAATTGCAAGAAAATGTAGCCATTTGCGTTGCATAAGCTAATGCGACTCACGTTGACTACAGCTTCTGTCCGCGATCGGCCGGCAGCATCGAAACTCACCCATTAACGACACAAAACAGTCGATTTGGCGGGAAACGAATGCGAAATGTCGGCCGGCCGACGGAAAAGAGGCAGTGAATGGGTTAAGAAGGAGATGCACTCAAGCGTTAAGCATGATGTGTGTTCACCAAAAGCCTAAAACAAGCACACAAGCACACAAGCACAAACACAGTACAGAATGGTGGGGATTAACTCGATGGGGAGTTCGCGATCAAAAAGGCAAAGGAGTGCAAAAGTGACACAACTCAAGCAGAGAAGACGTGAATGCAGTGACGCCCATGTGGGCTGTGAGGCACAAGGGATCAAGTAGACGACACGGGCAGGGACGAGAGAACAGAGAACCGGAGGAGACAGACGCCGCGCACAAGAACGGGAACGGGAACGGGAACGGGGACGGGGCTGTAAACTCATTAGGCTGATGAGGTAAGACGAGCGGCAGAAGAGCCGGACACGTGTCACGTCGGCTTCCGAAAGTGTTGCCGCGTCTCTTATCTCCAAAAGAGTTTGTGTGCCTGTGTGTGTGTGTGTGTGTGTGTG